TTTTTTGCAGCTTAAGGAGATGTTAACCATGAAAAATTGGTATACAATGAGATTATAATAAGCTTGTTGTCTAAGCATCTTGAAGCTGGAGCAGCTAAGGGGGAGTCTGGTTTTATTCTTGGATGTTGCCCTCGAACAATAAGGCAGGCGGTGAGCATTCCCTGTGATTTATTTTCTGTGATTCAAAGTATGAATTTAGCTCTATGTAATGTTGTATGTTATGTATACTACGAATCTTCAGTCCTGCAATTTTTAAAGGGAAAGTCTTAGTTAATGAATAGTTCAATAGCTCTCGCAATGGCGGCAATATTTGTTTTGAAAACTAGGACAAGCAGATAGATTGAAGTTAGAAGCTTATGAGAGTTTAGCCGCTTCTCCTGGATATTATTGGCAAAAGTGAGTAGTTAAACTGATAAGTTATGATTTGGGAGTTATAAAACAGTCATAAATTTCCTACTGATTATGATATGGTTTTAGCCTATAATTTGGGGATCTTTTTCAGGAGCAAACCGTATTGATTTGGTGTTATTTATATGGTCAATTACAGCAATAAGAAACTGGATTTCTTCTTTTGCTAAATTCATTAGGAGCTTCTGAAATAGAATTGCACAGTTATGAAAATATATTGGTCAAAACATCAATAAATCCCTTAATCCTTTGCATTGTACAGGGAAGATGACCCTCAAACCAAACACAAAGGTGTGGAACCATAATTTTCTAGCTATAGGTCTCCAGAATATTCCTTAATTCTTTGAATAGGTGGTTACTTTATAAATTTTAGGATGTGTTTAGTTGTGGAAAATAAAGAGAACGTTTCAGAAGATTTTCTCTAAGAATAAAAAATTGTTGAAAGATATATGTTGAGTTGTTAGAAAATAGGAAACTCAATTTCGAAATTAAGCATGTTTTATGTTGTTTATTTAAAGAAATAAAAAATAAAAAAATGTTTCGGAGAACAGGAATAGAAAAAGGAAAACCTTTTGCACAACTAGAATCACATGGATTTCCATAGATTAGCATTTAATATCTCTCTTCTTTTTTGGAGATTGGTTTAATGAGGTCATTAAATTGGCTGGTTGCAGGAGTTGATTTCTTTGATGATGATGTCAATTATTTCTCTAACTGGCGCATGTTGAAAAATCAAATTATATTTTTCTGGTCCTGTTTTCCCTTCTTATCTGATACCCTCACCGTCTGAGGAATGGCAAATTAATTAAAAGAATTGATTAATTGATTTTTCTGCATGTTTTCCTGTGTTTGGTTAGTTCCAGCAAGTATTGGAGGGTATGACGGACATCGACTTAGTGATTAAT